TTATTCTATCTCTTAACATGAATCGAAATTCAGACTCGATATTATAAGATCGCTATTGTTAAAGGTCGACAGCCAGCGRAAGAGTGAGAGGTGGTCAACATGATCGATGTGCATCATTAACTGAGACTACGGGTGATTGAATAAAGCCATCAAATTGAGCATTTTCCTATTGGTAACACATTTTGAAGAATGGTTTGGAGTTATTTCAATTCTCCGTCTTCCTCACTTGGAATTCTGTCGCTGTAGATAGGAAGACAAAATGATGTGGCTTTGATYAGTTAAATCTCCAGATTTTACTTTTCTTTGACATGCAGAAAGTATTCAGTTAATTCTCAGACTTTTGACGTACTCAAGGCAAACACTCGTTCAGAAGCCAACGCTATATCGCCAGAGATATTTCGAAAACTAATTTAAGGCACAAGAAAAGAGCTTAGTCCAATAAATGTGAAGTCATAACTGAAGTTTCGTTCCAAAAYAGTTAAAGTAAATTGGAAAGAGTTATTCACTGTCACTGTAAATGGTGGTGCTCTTGCATCTTTCCCAAAAACCGTAACATATGTGGGACACACGCTAATCCGCTTGCTTTATAGACAGAGGTTGAAGTTCAAAGGATTTCATTACACTTGAATTCTTTAGGATTAGCTTAATTTCAATACCAACAGGAAGAAGCAAAAAATAATAATGGTAGAAAAAATCGATCCGATACCGAATTCCTTAAACTGATAATCAACGTTCTGCGAACTATAAGCTGAAACATAAAATAATCGCCATTACTTACACACACCACACTTAGAAGATGTGGTGCTTGCCACCAGCAATTCCATTGTAATGCCACCCATAATGCTCCAAATGATTTAAACTGCTGGGGAATCGCTTAAGGCTAAGCTCGCTAAAATGACCCATAAACGGCAAATCCGGCGCTACAATAATACGCCGGGRATCACATAAAGTCATAAGAATAAACCATAAATTCTGAAGCGTGTCTTACACACGCACACAAACAAAACACACCTAAAGCACTTATTGATGTGCAAAGAAACTGATGYTGCTTGTGGCAGCTAGATTCAAATAGAGAAAGTGACTGATAGAACAAGTAAGAGTGCAACATCAACAAAAACAAGTAGGTCAGTCAGAGAAAAARAGAAAATAGCAAACTAGAAAGCGAAAATATGAAAGTTTATGACAAATTGTTGCTGTACGTGGRACGAATACGAAACTATAAATCAGTTGACCAAAGCAGCGGCGCACTTCAGAGACAATTTTATGTGCGAAACGTTTGTTGACTCGCTCATATTCTGGTCCAACGATTTGTAGGTGTTTAGAGAGCGCTGTTGAGGTGGCTGACCAAAGTGTTGCAGTTTTTCAAGCGCTGTGGGTTCAGCTTTTCTCCAGCTGGCAATGCGGACACTTTCCAGCTGTTGTTGTTGTGTCAGACCGCTGTTGTTGTTTTGGTTTTTTACACGCGTTCCTCTCATCATTTAGCGATTTTGTTTATGTGCAGTAAACTATTTTGTCGCACCCAAATGTACGGTTTGTGGTTGGTCGTTTGGTGGAATTGTCGTGGCTTTGATTTATTTCATTAGCTTTGTTGATAGTAGATTCATTGYAGATTTTTGCTTTTTATTGCTTTTGGTTGAATGCTTCATACTGCGAAGTGAGTGAATTGCGCTCTCCAGTTTAGAGGTTATGCTGAAGCTTCATTAATCAGTTATTGCTTGCAATCAAAGATCGTTTGCTTGTTTTTGGTAGAAATATGTAGGTGACTCAATTTCATTAGATGTTCGAAGTTTGCTGTGGAGTATGATCACATTTGGCTGTGGTCAAGTTGTGTTCGATCCATCATGAGATCATTGTTCTTTAGATTAGTTCGTCTGAGTCTGCGTAGACTAGCATTTCTACTAAAGAGTCACAAAGCTCACACGATATAACAAAACTCTTAGAAAATCTTTTCATTGAAATTACGAGAGAACAACCTTTACTCCGGAACCGCCGAAACAGCGCGTTTCCAGGACTTTCCGCTGGATGACGTCGATGACAATTTATCTACTCCTTACTATCCTAACGGAAATTAGGTACCCGTTACAACAACAACATGTACATGCGCCTCTTCTGCTGTTCGACCTTATCTAGAACCCGTCTTAGATAACTTGGAATCCAAAGAACTAAATGAGTTATCAAAATTACAGATCGAGTCTCTCTTAAACTTCACAAAAGGCGTTCGCGTTCTGTATAAAGAATTCGAACTAAACTGTAACTGTAACATCTGCTCTATATAAGACATGAGAGCTAGTAATACCTTGAATTTCACACAATCTTACTTCGTTTCTTTCAATTTGCGTTATTTATATTGATATCAAATTCAAAAATATTCGATTCCACATTTATTAGAGTTGTGATGACTTGCTTCATATTAGAAAGTCCTTGACCTTACCAAGTAAGTTTGAAATGTTTGAACTTAGCAGAACCAAGAACGAATTTGGAGTGAGGCACTTACAGTGATGTGCCCACTGGAGGGTTCAAAGTCAAATACACAAAATATGTTGGAAGGAAAAACTCCCCAGAAAAAAATTCTACAGGCGCCACTGGTGAGAACAATTGTATTATCCTATCTGGCGTAAGCCTACATAAATTTCTATAAAATCTACGCGAAAGTATGCGCAGTTCTCAAATCATTCCTCCATATGCTTTAATTGGAAAAATGCGGCTTTACGATGTTTTCGAATTTTCTTAGAACTGTTTCGTACTTTGTAGTAAAAATGGATCTGGATACAACAACTTCCTAGAACTGTTCGTATTTCGGCATAAAAATGGATCTGTAAACAACCAGTTTCTGTTGAAGAATCACACCCAGGATAGTATGTTTGCTTGATGATAAAGTAGAATTTAGGGCGAGGAATTTTATTTCTGGAAACATTTTGATAGATTTGGAAACATTTCATTATGTGCTGATGTTCTTTTGTGTGTTGAGTAAATTTTAGACTCAGTTGTGATCTTATTTCTCTGAAGTTTCAAACTAACGGTATTTAACAATACTGCATCAGTTTTTGTTTTACTGACCTATGCCTATTTTCCGATGTCTCTTATTATTTTCTCATAATTCTATTTGTCGAGATTTATATTTCTTGATTAAACATTTACTGTGAAAATAATGAAACAATTTTTAATAAAATTTTCCTTAAATTAAGTTTCGAAATTTTTAAATCAATTATTTTTTGATATTTATATTTACATTGTGTTTATTTCGTAAGTTGATGTTCTTGAAAATAATTTTTTGGCAATTGGAAGTTGACTTTGCGTACATTTTTTATTTCTTATTTTTATGGTTTGACTTAAAAATAGTTTTCTACTGCTGCAAACATTCTTCATTGTTATTATTTGTTTTTGAATTTTACGCACTATACTTTCAAACTATCATAACCTAAGTTGTATCCTATACTAACTGCTATACAACAGGCTATCACTAACACTTTGTCTAAATTATGTACTTACATTATAACTTCCTTCAAGTAACGCCAATTTAAGCATTCACCATTTGTTGCTACTTATAACATTTCAATTACAGTTGTCAGCGGAAATCTGTCAACTGTCAGCTATCAACTGGCAGTTGTCAGTGCTTGACTGGCTTACTAACTGTTATTTGCTTGTTGGTTTTACGCCTTTGCTCTCATTCACATATGTCCGCACTCTCTCTYTCTTATGCTATCGCGCTTTGCTCGCACTTTCGCCACTGTTGAAATTTATTGGAACGGCGCATACTGTCGCTGGAACATCGCTTGTCACCACAGATCGAATTTACGTGTAGATGACGACGCTGTTGCTGTTTTGGCACTCACTTTTCTTCGACTGTCATTGATTAACGGCGCGCTATTGCCACCACATGACTGTGCTTTGTATGCTTGTTTTTCGCCTATCACCGCATTCCGCTCAATATCTATATTGGCATCCGCCGCGCGCTGGCTCGCAGCCGCATGCAACGCTGTGTCGGCATTGCATTCATCAGAGCGCTTACACGCCGCTGTAACTGTCAACAACTCCATTGGCAACATGTCACAGTGTAGGGCATCATTCGCGCTCACACAACCACCCAGCTGACCACACTCTGCTGCCATTTCCACATAGAAAGCATCATCCGCCTCCATACTGCCCGCGGTGGAGGACGAACGTGTGCTACTTAGACTGCTGCTGCTATTGCGCGACACCTCACCACTGCCACCGCTCGCGTTGCTGCCGGCGCTGCCGTGAYGTCGCGCGGCCGTAGTGGACTTTTCAAATGGCCGTACATCATAATAGCTGCGMGTGATGCGCGTTGCCGCCTCCACTTCCACGGCGGATGTCTTTTGCAGCTCGCGCACATGTAAGTTGTGCAGCGGTGAGCTATAGTTTGCGCGTGTGCGCTCGCCATGATGCCAGCGCGGCGGTTGCTGTGCGCGTTGCTGTTGCTGTTGCCCCTCACCATTATTGTGATAATGCAAGAAGCTGTGCGCGTCATCATCGGCGCCGCCATTGAATTGACGCTGCAAATGTGGTCGCTGTTGATGTGACAGCAAATGTCGCCGCCATGGCAACACATCACAGCGATAGACATGCATCAGTCCGACTAAGAGCACGGCAAGCAGTGAAAAGGAGAGTAACAGCACAATGCCTGGATGTGTTGTGCCGCCACCCACTTCGCGCACATCCAACCATTGTTGTCGCTGCGAGTGCAAGGCGGCGCGCTCTTGTACTTGCAGTGGCTCGTGGTCGCGCCGCTGACTGCTGATCGAGTGCTGTGCTGTGGGCGCATCCAAGTTTTGCAGCGTAGCCACCTCATCCATGGCGGCGAGCAAGTGCGCGTGATTATCATCTCTAATGATGGGCGTGTTAACGGTGCTATGCTTATGTTGCGGCGCTATGTTGTGCGTWGCCGCAAGTTCTGCTAGCTCACTGCCGSTTTCAAACCAGTCGTGTGTAATGCCATTTGCTGCTGTTTCGCTATTCGCTTTTAAAAGTTTGCCCGCGAGCGCTTGTGGTATACCAGCTGCGGCCGCAACGCCGCGGTCGCGGAACACAGCTTCATTTTCGCGMGGCGTATTGAGCATGTAGTGCGCCTGCTGATGTGGCGTCTGTGTGTGCTTGGTGTGCTGTGTTTGTATGGTCATTTTCTTCATAATCAAAGTGGGTTTGCGTCTACCGCCACCGCTGCCACCACCGCCAATATCGTCGTGTTTCTTTGGCAACGCTTTGTGCTCCAACTCATGCTGCCTGCCTTTGCTGTACGCTCCACTAGCTTTTACTTTATGCTGTTCGTTGTTTATGTTATCTGTTGTGGTAGCGGCGGTGGTCTCTATCCACTTTGCTCTTGTTGTTGTTTTGTTTGTATTCACTGCTTTTCCTGCCAACATTTGCTTATCTGCAGGACTATCGTTATGCTGCTGGTTGCTTTCTAGCACCGCGCCACCAATTCTAAGCCCTGGCGTCACATTTGTYTGCACGTTTATTGCTTCCGCCTGTGAGCGCTCGGTATGGGTGAAGTTATTTGACTGCTGATGTGCCTTCAGAGCACTCCGCTGCTGCTTTGCTACCGTCCGCCCATCGCTGGGGTGACTGTACTCTTGATGTTCGGCTTCCGTTGGCTGGCTTTTGGCCAAAGCTGGCTCGTTTGTTATCTTCAAAGTGCTTGCTTTGCGGAGTTTTGKTATTGGTGTTGTGRTTGTTGTTGTTGATTTTACCGTCACAGTGGTTTGCTTAAGCACYTCGGCCGCCTCCACCAGCATATTTTGGCCGCGGTGCATGAGCAGCGGTGTTCCAATTAAATGTCGATCTCGTATGTGCAGCTGTAGCGGCTCGTGTTTGTGTGTTGGCGCATATGTGCTGCTTGTTGTTGGTTGCATTATGGTCTCTATTTTTATGTTGTGCTCAGTAGTKCYTSCAGCTGCCACTCYYGGCTCCTCCGYCGAGTGYCGTTGCTGACCGGAAATGTCGTTTGGATACGGATTTGCCCGTTTAAAATTATGTTGCTGCCAAAATTGTGTTGTCTTTGGCTTTGCCAATTCGTTTACTGCCATTGTTGTTGCTGCCACTATCATGCTCTGTTCGTTGTCCTGCTCCTCCGTCGCTTCTAGCTTGTTTGCCTGCACTTTATGGCCGTCATTGTCGCTGTCATTTCGAGTTAAATTGTTATCTACTTTCTGTTTGGCCACTGACTTTGTCTGTATTGTTGCCTCTGCCAATTGTTGTGTTGTTGGCATAACCTKTGTTGTTGTTGTTTCCACTAACACTGCTGCCTTTTGTGTTGTCAATTCACTTTTTGCCGCGTCACTCTGACCTGTTTGCAGCGCGCCAACGCTCATTTGCCCAAATGTTGCTTCGTCGGCGTTTATCAACTTTGTTGCTGCAACACGTTTTGTTGCATGTGTTGCTCGTGCGTCAGGCACTGCTTGTGAGCGTTTCATTTGCAAGTATCTTGCTGTTACATTTTTACTGCTTGTAGTTGCTTGTAAAGTTGTTGTTGTTGTTATTGTAGCCGTTGTTGTCTTCATGTAAGTGTTATTATTGCTGCTTTCAGTTGTTGACGTTGCTGAAATTCGCTCCGACAGCTGTTGTGCTGTTCTTGCTGTGCTGGCATTTTTTGCCATTTCCAATGAAGTTGCAACATCAGCGCTATTTGTTGTACTTGTAGCTGTTGCAGCTGCATTATCTAGTCGCTGCTGTTTTTCGTTAACGGAAATCTCTTTGGTATTATTTAATGATGACGTCGCTGTCAGTTTAGCATTTAACGCGCTTGTTGTTGTTGTTATTGTTTGTGCATCACTCGCTTCAACGTCACTAACTGGGTATTGCAACGTTGCAGGAAACATAGTTTTTGCCGCTCCACTGGGTGCTTCAACAATTTCTGSCACTGTTGTTGTTGTTGGAAGCTTTTCTAGTATACTTGTTGTTGTGCTGCTGTTTAGTATCAATGCCGGCATTGTTGTTGCAGTAATTTGTTGTCTCAATAAATTGGCAATGTTTGCCGCACCACTTCCTGTTGCAACAGTGGCAAGTTGCTGCAAAGTTTCYCCCATTGCCGGYGTGGTAGTTGCCGCAGTTGTTCTTTGGTTTTCCATTGTTGTTGTTGTAGCTGTGGTAATGGCGCTTTCGTCCCTTGCGGTCCGTGGCGTTAAGTTTACGTTCCCATGTGTTGTTGTAATTTCAACTGTTGTTTTTATTGGAAGTGTTGTTGTTGTTGTCGGTTTTGTTGTTGCTGAGAATTTTGTTTCTGCTGTGGATTTTGTTGTTGCTGAGAATTTTGTTGTTGCTGAGAATTTTGTTGTTGTTGTGTGCTTTGTTGTTATTGGAAATTTTGTTGTTGCTATTGTTTTTATTGTTGTTGGGAATGTTGTCTTAATTGTTGTTGCTGTTGCGGTTGTTTTATAGACCTGTGTCTTATAATCAAATGGTGCTTCCGTTCCGTTGGTTGCAAGCGTTGCTGTTGCATCATCTGTTCTTGTTGTTGCCTCTGAACTTTCTGCCATTTCAGGCGTAAAATTCTTTTGATTAAACTTGAAAAGTTTCATCTCAGCTTTAACATTCTTCACCTCCTTCTTAGACTTCTTCTGACGCGGCGCGCCCGATTTGGCCTTCGCCTCAACGCTGCTGCTCATGGCTTCACCAAGCGTATCCTTCTTTGGCATTGTTGTTGTTGTTGCTGCTGTTGCGGTTGCTTTCACATTTAATTTCTCGCTTTGCGTTCGCAATTCGTTTGGCAAATTGAATGTGAGCTCGCTGGTCACCCCTCCACTGCCTGCATCCRCTTGCGGCGCCTGCTCGCCGCTCGCCTCCCACTCAACAGCACAAGCGGGTGTGGGTGTGRGTGTGGRTGCGGGTGCTGGCATGCTTACAGCCGATTGTCTTTTAACGTTGCAATTACTCTTAAACTTTTCGAAAAAATTGTGCATCCGCACAAACTTCTGCTTCAATTCGATATTTGTGGCTGCCTCCGCCGCATCCGTGGTCTCCGCGCTTGCCGTCGCCACTGCTTTATCGGCTTTTTGCTGACCCAGTTTAGCTGCACTTGCACTCAGGGCAATTACTTGCTCCTCGCCGTCGCCAATGCTGCCAATGCTGCCAATGCGATTATCGCCGTCCAGTTGTTGTTGCTGCTCCTCACCCAAATCGCCCATAATACTATTGCGCTCGATATTATAGCTCTCCTCTGCCGTAATGTTGCTGCTGTCAGCTGGACCGTTGCGCTCCACAATCCTACACGGAGTCGCCCACTCGGCAATGCTCAGCAAATCGCTGCACTTAATTGGATTCTCATCGAGCAGCAGGTCAYGCAAACGCGGCAACGTGTGCACCATGGCTTGGCTGACGCCCCGCAAGCCGGCCGCGCGTAAATTGAGTGTCAGCAATTTGGGCAACGGCAGCGCTGGCAAATAGAGCAGTTTATTACCCGAGAGATCGAGCGTTTGCAGATTATTGAGTCCTTGKAAGGTTTGCGCTTGCAAATCCATGATTTCATTGTGCTGCAAGAAGAGATGCTCCAGCGAGGTGGGTAGGCTGACGGGCACTTTGCGCAGGCGATTGTGGTCGAGGAAGAGCGTTTCGAGTATCTCCAAGCGGCCAAGCGCATCGTCTTCGATATCTTCGATGCGACTGTGCGAGAGATCGAGATACTGCAGCAACGGGTAGCTATCCAAGTCACCGCAATTGATAATCTGCAAWGAGTAGTACATAGAAAAGCAGAAATTATTATAYATCCGAGAATTGGTGTTGCGCGCAGTGAGCGAATTAATTGAAATTAATGCGCTGTAGGGGGAAATACAATTTAAGTAAGTGCTTGTAAGTTCACTATCAGACTAAGTGCAGTGAGTAATCAATATAAATTATAGTTTCTGCGGTGAAATCTTAATCGCTATCGTAGACTTAGTGATGGATGGGCTCACAGTCATTATATCACTTCGTATTATAAATACTCTTCTATGAGGTTGGAAACCGTAAAAGCTAGAAAAAAGTATATAGACCGTTGATAAGTACTTCAGCTTATCAACTGATGTTTCTGTACCGAATCTGATCATATCATATAAAAAAATTCAGAGAAATTAATTAGATAACTTCGCTTAAGCGGTACGCAACRTTGGAGTATTATGATCCTAAAGGAAAAGTGCTTACAAGGTTAACAAGTAATTAAACCGAACCAGATACTTAGACATATTATAAATACGATAATCGAGTAAAGCTGGTTTCATGGCACTATTCTTCTATAGATCTCTCTAACTTTCATGGCTTAAACTTTTGGGATACCAGAGACCAGAGACTGTGTAATGGTAAAAAAAAACAAGAAAAAACGTTAGCTTCGGCTGCACCGTAGCTAATATACCCTTCACAGGTGCATTTCTTTTAGTAACTATGTGTTCAGTTTATATGGAAGCTATATGTTATAGTAATCTGATCTGAACAATTTTTTCGGCTATTACATTGTTGTCTTAAAAAACAATCTATAACAAATTTCGTGAATATATCTTGCCAAACGCAAATGTTTTCCATACAAGAACTTGATTCCGATCGTTCAGTTTGTATGGCAGCTATATACTATAGTGGTCCGATATTGGCAGCTCCAATAAATGAGCAGCTTCTTGGAGAGAAAATGACGTTTGCAAAATTTTAAAACGATATCTGAAAAACTGAAGGACTACTTCGTAAGTATACAGACAGACGGACGGACAGACAGGCGGACATGGCTAAATAGACTCATCGTAACATATTGATCATTTATATATATACTTTATAGGGTCTTCGACGCTTCCTTCTGGGTGTTACAAACTTCGTGACAAATTTAATATACCCTGTTCAGGGTATAAAAAGAGTGATAGAGAGATAAATACTGGCAAGGACTATGTAACTTCCTCCCTGCGTAACCTACCAATCCTTTGTTCACTTCGCAGCTGTTCTTCCCAAAACTAATTTGAAAAATGTTGAAGTATTTTTGGAGTCTATCATTTTGTGTCATTATGAAAACTCGTGGCGGCCATATGTATTTTTAGGTTTGTGTTCAGRTTGTTTCAGTAAGGTTTACCATTTCATGATGCCACATTTTAGAAATTGTACAAGCTTATTCACGTTCATCGAAAGATCTTCTACTCAGATGAGTTCTATATCTGGTTTATAAACTTCGTCAAAAAACAACTTTTTGCGGCGGCAGTGCCAGTACCATGCATTGCGGTGGGGTCTCACACTATGAAGGAGTTGCTCCGCATAAGAGATTGAGGAGAAAATAGCACAGGCACCACACAGAGAGAATGCGCCACGCCAAGATACTATTGGGACGTTACAATCTAGCAAGGTTTATATATGTATATGATCAACCTCCACCGAGACAAATTCCGTCTCCTTGTCGCACTTTAGGCTGGACACTGTAGGCTCTAGAAATACTTGTTCAATATGGAACAGGAAACGCCAGAACACCAGATTCTAAATTAACCAGCAAGGCCCTAAGATCCATCTGCATGGACCGCGATCATATTATCACTATTGCGCCCAACAAACTCTTGGAATTATTCAGAGTGCTGAACCTTTGTAACCATATGTGATTTAGGAGAAAGCGCAATAAACCATAGAACGCAGTGCAAAACCTCCATTATTTTCTCTCTGTCTATGTAAAATCAAAGCTCTAACATAGACAGCACCCTAACATTCAGCACCCTATAGCTAAAATTCTCCACCGGGTAATTCAGAATTGGTGAAAATTGCTKTAGGTCTCCATAGAACGACTTACCAGGTTTTTGATCTGAACAAGGGTCTAATTTTGGCAGGTCAAAAACAACCAAAACTTTAGCATTGGAGGACTTTGGTTTAGCGGCATCGAATAGCCAATAAACTCGAGTTAATAACTTAATTGAACAAAAGAGAAAAATAATCAGGTAAACATTGAAGAAAGACCAGGTAGTTTAAATAACTGTTCATATCCTAATCCAGGAATATCTTGTCAGATATTGATTGCTAAACCTCTGAGCGTATTTTGTATCTTAAACAATCTCAGCTTAGCCAATTTATAACTGTAAACGACTACTAATAGCACGCAAGTACGTGTGTCGGCCTTCAAAGTCAAACAAGCTGTTCCCATAGCGCCACCATAAATATAATATTAATCCAGCTCCGCTTTAACAGATTTTCCACTAATGTGAAGTAAATTTTTTTTAATTTTCGCACGATTTGCCGGCAGCTACAGCAAAAACAACAACAGTCCAGTTAAAATTAAAGTGATTTCACACTAATCATAGTCACTTCAACTAAGCAGCTCATATTAAGCCCACCCCACCAAGCGACTAACATTTTTAAAACCAGCAATTCAACGGCGGTGACTGCCACGAAGGCATAAAGTGCGAAAGTTGCCACAACAGCAAAATCTGTTTGCCAGGCGGCTGAAATAACAGTAATAACGGCGGTTGACGAGACAAAAGATAGTCAAACAKCGACGGAGCTGGGTGCCAGGCGGGTGTAAATGAGAAAATCTTTTCACCCGTTGCCACTTAACTGCCTACCCGGCGTCTACTAAAYAAATGAACGAACAAATGAAGGCGAGCATGAATGAGGCTGCCGCCTCATCAGGAGCGCGGTGTAGACGGTAGTGTTGGTAGTGTTGGCGGTGGCTGGCAGGCATTTATAATTCCGTATAATTGGAATAAGGATAATAACGATAAAGCTAAAGCGTATGCAAACAAGCTAAGCATCGGCTGGCAAACATACAAATGCAAGCCAGCAAATAGAGTGTGCTGGGTATTTGCACACTCACATACACACACATGCACATGTACACATTGAAAAGAGTAAAGCAAACAAGAAGCGGCGCAATGAAAACAAAAACAACACAATCAAGGATAATCGTCAAAACTCTAACAATAATAACAATGAAAAGCTGCTGCCGCCGGCACTGCGCTGACTGCGGCGTCGGCATGGGTGCCGAGAAAGAGTAGCGTTATAAAAACATAAGCCTGCTTTTGGGCGTTGTGTTGTGTAGGAGCTGCTCATAAAAGGGGGGGGGGGGGCCTAAGCGCCGGATGTGTATGGGAAGCAGACAGACAGCAGAGAAATGCCTCTGAGCAGTTTTCGCTTGTTGCCTTTGGTGTTGTTTTTCTTGCGTTTATTTCTTTGCTTTTGGTCTGATGCGACTGACGGTGCCGTGATTTTTGTGCGCTTTGTTTGCGAGTATCTGCTGATTATTAGTATTGACGTATTTACATGTACTAACATACAATTGTGGGTATTGTTAATCTTATATGTGGCATTAGGGTGGGTTACTTTGTAAAAATGTCAAGCTTTTGATTAGTTAAGATTTTTCAATTTAGTACCCAAAATGTCAAAAAAAAAAAAAAAAATCAGATATTTTGGAAAAAGTTACCCATCCTAATGTGAATTTTGAAAAATTTTCTAAAAAATAGCTTGATTATTTTGAGAGCAGCTCGAAACCCTAAAAATTCAGTCCCCCATATAAAAAAAAATACCCAAACTCAAAATTCTCCAATTTGCATGCCAAAAAAGGATTTCTAAGCGAAAAAACTGATGATAACTCGGTTTTTTTATTAGCCATGGCTATTTATTTCCAATCGCTGTCGAAGGTCAACAAAAGTAAATTCTAAGCGAAAGAACTGATAATACCGCGTTGCTAGATCTGAAAGATTTATTTTATTTTTGAGAGCTTTTTAATTTGGTGATTTTGATTTTTGGGATTTTGTTTCGGGATTTTGGAAATTGGGGTTTCCAGATCTAACCCGATATTTTTTTCTATTTTCAAGAATAATATGAAAATATTTTWGAGTAACTTGGCTATTATTTTTGGATATTTTTCACTTTAATGTACAAACATGTTTTCTGGAAAATTTCAACGTCTTTATTATCTGACGTTAAAAGTTTYTCCTAAAATATATTTCTCTTAAATTTGCTTTCAATAAATTTATTGAAGAAAAATTGCAAAGAAAAAATTTCTTTAAAACAAAAAAAATAAAAATAAGTACATAGAAAACTGGCTCACCCTAGTGCGAGTATATGAAGCGCCTAATAATTATTCTAAAGCCTAATTCGACTCTATGTAGGGCCTATTAATATTTGCAATGAAAACTGGCTCACCCTAATGCGAGCCTATGAAGGGCCTTTTAATATTTCCACCATTGTATAAGACATTTTTGATACTAAAATCCCCTGAAGTTTTTCGTAATCGGTCTAATCCAAAAAAAAAAAAAAAAATTCAAAGGCGGGTTTATTAATTAATTTCCTCTTTTTTTTGCACTTGCCACAACAAAAATAAAAGTAATAAGAAGCAAAATCAGCAAAATAAATAGCCTTTAAAGGTTAGCAGAGCTGAAAATCATCGACTAGCTCTTACCGAGATTCATAATGAAGACAAATTCGCCAACACCTATACCTTCGTTATATCTTCTTCCTGATTTTTGTTTGCGAATTTCGTTTAGCTTTCAGCTTTTTCGCCACTTTATCTTGCAGCCTTTGCCTTGACTCTTTGCACAAGCTTCACAATTTAACTCATTTCCATCCCCACCTTTTTGTTATTGTTTCTTTGTTACTCATTTAATGAGTCTCAACTTGACTTAACGCAACGTTCCCCGCCCTGCCTTGACTTGTCTCTCTTTACCATTTTTCTATTGACTTTGAGCAAACAGACACAGTCGACAGCGGCGCCTTTTCGGCGTCCGAGTGAAGAGTGCAC